ATTTGAGCAGCATTTTGGTTATAACCTTCCCCTCTGAAATGTGAAAATGTAGAAGTTCCAAGTATAACATGTACTCAGTAATTTTGCTAAGTATCTCTAGGAGCCTGATGGATTTGTGGCTTTCCTGTCAAGATTCTTGTATCATCAGTCATTATGTTACTTGAAATAAGCTGATCTTTGAATTTTCTAATTTGTAAGTGTTAAATTTATGTTATGCATGTAAGTGTTAAATTTATGAACATGGCAGCTGAAAGTAGTACAAAAGTTCAAGCAGCAGCTTGAAAAAAGGTCTAAGGAGAATTTTCATATAGAAAATAAGAATAATTTTAAGCAAAAACTTCTGGCAATTGTATGTGATTAAAACAGGGGTCTTCAAACTTGGCCCTTTTATGACTTGTGGACTTCAACTCCCAGAATTCCTCAGCCAGGCATGCTGGCTGAGGAATTCTGGGAGTTGAAGTCCACAAGTCATAAAAGGGCCATGTTTGAAGACCCCTGGATTAAAGCATATCAACATCCTTTACACTGTTCTGTTTAAGCAGAAATAAATATGCAGAATGATTTATGAGGTTACTGGAGCTTGGTTTGGTTCGCATCATCTTCATCTTTCCATCCATCTCAATTTAAGGTCTAATATTAGGTTTTTAGTTCCCAGACATATAGACATTTATTTCATATTACATGTAGTTCTTTTTGGCCACTCTACCACTGAAGCTCGGGGGGCATCCGAAGTTGCCAAGATCCAGAGATGCACAGTAAGATCCAAGATTGTGGACTAGATGGAGAAGAGAGGACAGAGACTACAGAAGACCTACTCCAGTGAAGTCTTTCTTTTTACTATTCATCTAAACCTTTCCTTCCCCATGCTATCAAACCATCTCAAAATTAATCCACGCTCTTTATCTCTGAAAAAGTTGAAGACTCCTGCTTTAAGGCATCTGCCCAAAGGTCCCCCCCCCACAGAACTAAGGAGTAATTTCCTGATAGTGAAAAAAATTAAGCTTGTCTCCAGAAGTTGGGGTACTCCATCACTGGAGGTTTTCACATGCACAGTCATTTGTCTGGAATGGTATAGAGTCTTCTGCTTAAGCAGGGGGTCAGACTAGAAGACCTTCAAGGTCACTTCCAATCCTATTATTCTATGTTCTAGCTAATGGAGTCAAAATGTTCAATGTCAAAAGTACCCAATCAATGTGAGGGATCAGGCTGTGGATAAGGCATGATGTGAGTAAACGAATATGGGCATCTTCATAGTCTTTTAGGAGGTCCTTTGGTAAACTAACAAGATTGTGCCTGCCACCCCTCATCATTTCTCCTTTTTGCAAATGGTCTGCTGTTGCGTTGCTACGACAACAGAAAGCTTGCTGCATATCAGAAGGGGAGAAAAGGAATATGAGACAAAAAAGAAGAGGGTGGTGGAGACTGTTGGACGAGCAGGGCAGGGAGAAGAAAAAATGAGGCAAGAATTGGAAAAAATGGAAAACCACATAGTGCATTTCTTGCTGTGATATCATGAACTTGGAGAAACTAAGCTGAGACAATGGTTGCATAAATACAAGCAAGTTTTAAACTCTGGAAGCAGAAAGAAAGATTGGTTCTACCCATAGTGAAAGGGAGGGAAGGGAAAACTTAGTCAGCCTTCAACTCTGTTTATTTATTTAATCACATTTATATAGTTGCCCATCTCATGAGGAGTGACTATTACATGCAGATATATGTAATTATACTCAAATTATACTATTATAGTCATTATTAATAAAGTTCTACTCAAATTTGTGGATTCTGTTTCCTGGTCTGGCCATTATTGAATATAATCTCAGGTACAAATTTTGTTTGTAGGGTCATAGTTTTTAAAATCGTTAAGACTTTTGTTTCCAAGTGGCACCCACTATGCAGTATTAAGAGACTCTTGTTTATCAAGAGGAAAATAAATGCTCTCAAAATCTCTCTGATTATGAAAAAGAACATTCAAATTATTGTTTCTGTTTTTAAGCAGAACACATAAAGCTTTCTTTTACTATGAAACTCAAAGCAACTTTCTTCTGAGAGGCTATAGTGTGCTGTGGTTCTGTCTCCACATCCAAATCTGCTTAACTCAGATCTAATATGGCTACATTATGGACTCTTGCACTATATCCCATGGCTAAGTTATGAACTGCAGTAGATAGGACAGAATAAAATCTACACAGGGAGAAAAAGATAAAAAAAAAACCAAAGAAGCTTTTATTATTGGCTTACACTACAGCAATCACACGATTATTAGTCTAAATATTAAATACTGTTTTGGTCATAATTGGTCACCTGGGTTAGTAAACTAACAAAATAAGCGATCCCTTGACTATAACTGTACAGCACACAAATATGATTAATGCTAATTTCTTTGTCACTTTTTACTTATTTCATAAACCAGAGGGAATGCCTTTATGCTAAAAAGAAGTCTGCTTAAATGAATTGATAACCCAAATATATTGGAACAGCAGAGTCAAGAATTAAACAGCTTGAAGTGATTAAGTTATTGATTTAACTACATGCATTAGATCGCCAATTCATTAAATGTTGCCCTGATACTGAATCCCAGAGAAAAAACATTAGCAGACTCACTAAAATGTCAAATTAAGCAAGTCATTCTAATGTTTCATGCAACCCTTGTATTATTTCTTTTGCTATCTACGACATGTCTTAAAGCAGCCTTTGCAACATGAGGTGCCTTCTATATGTGCTGCACTATAGCAACACAACAATAAAATACAAATTATATATCAAGCCAAACAAGACTTGACACCAAAGTTAAAGAAATAAACCATCTCCTCACAATTATGTTAATTATAATCTTCTCTACTAACACTATAATAAAACTGGAAAAAATGGAAAATCCTAAGAAAGTGTGTGCAGCCAGATTACAGTCTATACTGAAATTAATTCCTCTTGATGTACTTTGCTTTCTTAGCTTCCAGTGAGGCAATCTGACATCCATCAAACCTTTCATTCTGTCTGAACAATAAAAACTTGTCCACTTAAACTGGTAACCAAATGGGTGCAGAGATGTGTGACATCTAGGTTTGTCACATTTTCCTACAGTATTTTTTTCCCTCTCTCAGCCTAATTAAGTAACTATCAAGAGAAAACAACACTCCCACCAACACTGACAGGGCAAGGGACTGTATATAAGCAGAATAGCCCCACCCTCTTTTAGCACTGATGATGTCATCTAGTTGGGTAACAAAACAAATTAAACAATTAAGCTCAGAGAATGCCAAGGACTCCACAGTATTAGCTATATTATTACTTACATGCCATGACGTTGGTCTCTGTTTACTTAAGTATCTGGCATTTTCTGTAAGATTACCTACTCAGAGGCAATCATAATATGATGGGTGTCTACTTAACCCAAGAAGTCTCCCTACAGAGTCACATGGTACCCAAACAGACATGGCTGAACCGAACACCAGGTAGTCACTATTCGAAAGGGGAAGTCGTCTTCCACAAACCAAGTGTTTCCTTCGTAAAAATCTATGGGAAGAGATTTATTTGTCCAGAAGCAGTCCTTAAATGGGGAAAGGTAACTGCTATCTATGCCTAAAATTTATTCAATTTCTTCTAGAATTGACAGGAGTTTATATGTCAATTGATCTGAAACGGGTCTTAAAGGAATATTTGAATTTTGATAAGGTTAATTTTGATAAGGTTAATACATATCTTTCCATATAGATAAGACTGTTTAATCAGTCTCCTCTTAATACAAATAGGAAATATATCACATTAATTTGTATTATGAAAGGTAAAAAAATGTTACATTTGAAATTCTACGTATATATTTGAAATGCTTGCAGCAAGTAGATTTACCCTTTGTTAACATTTATAGTACTGTGGTATGAAAAACAAAAGGAGCAGTGCCTTTATTTGCCAACCATGCCAAATTAAAATTCAACTAAATGTAAGCCCAGTAATACTTAATTAAGCTGATAATAGTACTCAAAGAATGCTGAGAATAAAGTAAATTTAAATTAATAGCATTTTAAATACAGTTTCTGTATTGAACTATCCCTGAAAAAAGTAATTTACTATGTACCAAGAATAATATTTATTTGGACATTCAGAAATATGACCCAAGCATACACAAAATACCTGACAATAATGAAATTCAAGAAACACACAAGAAATCTGTACAACTGCAGTTTCTAACACAGCTTCCCAAACAGACCTGCTTAATTTGTATTGTGGTCTGCCGATTCACTACTTGTTACTTATTAAATATGAAATAAATATGATCCAGCAGTGTGTGGTAGCAGCCAAAAAAGCTAATATAATCCTTGGCTCATAAACAGAGGCACAGAATCAAAATCACATGAAGTATTAGTACCACTTTATAAAACCTTAATAAAAATCTAGAGAAAAGAAGGGCTAGGGGTGATATGATAGCAGTATTCAGTATTTGGGGGGCTTCCCAAAGAAGAGGGAGTCAACTTATTTTCCAAAACACCAAAAGGCAATGGACGGAAACTAATCAAGGAGAAAAGCAACCTGGAATTAAGGAGAAACTTCAGTGAGAACAATTAATCAGTGGAACTGCTTGCCTCCAGAAGTTGTGGGTGCTTCATCACTGGAGTTTTTTAAAGAAGATATTGGATAGCCACTTGTCTGAAATGGTATGGGGTCTCCTCCTTGAGCAGGGGGTTGGACTAGAAGACCTCCAAGGTCCCTTCCAGCTCTATTTTGATTACTGTTAAAGCACTATAACATGTACAAAGTTAACATAACATGAGAAGCATTTTACCATTGAAACAATTACTCAGAGAGCAGAGCATCTGTCTGGGATGTTTCAATCTGGATTCTGCACTGATTTTAGGATGATTTCCTGTTTATACAATGTATATCCCAGCAGACACTTTACTTCATACATGGTTGTACATGCCTGTAAACTGATGTAACTTTCCATTTACCTGCAGCTTATATATTTAAGCTCTGACTGCTTTAAAGAAAAATGAAGCATTTTCTCCTACCTGGAGCACCATTACTACTGTCTTCAGCATCACTTTCAGAGGATCCTTTACTGTTTTCATTAATAGCAACTGGTACGTAATCTTCAGGAGGCAGAGTCACAGTGTATATTTTTCTTGAAGGTAGAATCACACTTGTCTTTTCTAGAAGAGAATAAATAGGAAACTGAGGTAGAAATAGACTTACCAGAGCTTCTACTAGGGTTATGCAGTGAACTGGATTCTAAGAACAAAGGGCAAGTAGCCACACTTACTATATTAGTCAACAACTTGCTAAAGAACCCTCCATGTCTGCTCCTTGTAAGTAGCCTAGTCTGCCAGGAAACAGATTCCACAAGGACTAATGGAACTCCATCTGATTATTACAAAGTATAATAACAGAATTGTAAAAGCCTGACATTCTTGCTTTCCCCTCTTATGCCAAATACAATCAAGGGAAGGCAAACTTGAGTTTCTTCCTCAATCCATCATATTTATTGGGCCTAAATGATGTTGATGAAAACAATCCTGCATTCTTTCTTCAAGGTTATGTCTGTTCTCCTTTATACCATGTGGCTGCCACTCTACCCTAACAGAAAAAGACCTCTTTGATGTAAAGAGAAGCTGGCAGGTCACATATATATGCCATACATGTTCTAAATCACCTTCTCCTCTTTGAATCTAAATTGCATTCTATATGCAACTCCCACATAGCCTTACCATGCATGCCCTGCATGCAGAGACAGCTGTGGATAGCTTATGAAGCAGCTTCACAAGCCTGGAAATAACATATATGTGGCTGCTTTAATGCTTCAAACAATAGTACTTTGTATGCACTGTTAAACATTAAGACACATCTGTAAGGATTTATAGACACTGCCCTATAAATAAGAACTTGTTTTGGATAGGGGAAAGTATGAATCAGGTATTGCACATCAGTCATGCAAGAAGAGTAAGGCATCCAAAAAGGGAAGTCACCTTCTGGTTGGTGATTCAATTATAAGGGATGTAAATTTAGGAAAGGATACGGAGCTTTCAAAAGAGGTCAGGTGTCTTCAGATGCTACTGCCAGCAGGGACAAGAAGTGTATTTTTAAGATAGTCAAGAATGCCAGCAAGGACTGCGATGTAGAAGCTACTGTACATCTTGGGGCTAATGACCTGTCCCAAAAAGATGTACTCTCTGTGCAGAATGATTTTCCAGACCTTGGGGCAGGAACTTAGCAGGATAGGTTGTAGGCTTACCTTTTCAGAGGAACAAAATGGAAAAGGCCAGTGTAAGCAGAATTCAATATGTGGCTAAAGGAGTGGTGTAAAGAGGAAAGCTTTGGTTACATTAGTCATGATGTCTGCAACTGGTCCAATGAAAGACCAAATAAAAGAGAAGGTGGAGTTGCTCTCTATATAAGAAATAATTACATCTCTACTGAAATAGAGCACAACAATGATGAAAACTGTCTTGAATGCATTTGGGTCAATATAAAAGGGGAAAAAACAACATTGCCATAAGTGTATACTATAGGCCACCCAACCAAACAGAGGAAATAGATGAACTTTTTGCAAGTCAGTTAACTAAAGTATGTAGGAAGCACATCACAATAACAATGGAGGACTTTGATTACCCTGACATCAACTGGGAGACAAACTTTGCACCAAGTAGAAGATCAAACAAATTCCAGACAATTTTGTCTCCCAAAAAGTAGAGAAGGGAACTAGGGGATCAGCCACATTGGACTTAATTCTCACTAACAGAGATGAAATAATAGAAGGTGTTGAAGCTACAGGAATCTTGGGGGGGGGGGGGAAGTGATCCTGCAATATTGGAATTCAACATTTTGCAAGCACAAGCAATAGAACATAGTCAAACTAGAGTCTTGGACTTCAAGAGAGCTAATTTCAATAAACTTAGAGAGAGCTTGGAAAGGATTCCATGGATGAGAATCCTCAAGGGGAAAATAACCCAAGAAGCTTGGGAAATTTTGAAAAGTGAGATTATAAAAGCCCATCTAGCACAATACCAACGAAGAAGAAAAATAACAGCTTTCAAAAGAAACCAGCATGGCTGCATAAAGAACTCTTTGATAAATTGAAAGACAACAAAGACAAGTATAAAAAGTGGAAAGAGGGGCATATAACTAAGGCAGAATATCAGCAAATAGCCTGAGCTTGCAAAGATGAAGTGAGGAAAGCTAAGGCTCAGAATGGACTGCGGCTTGCTACAAAAGTCAAAAATAACAAAAAAAAGCTTCTTTCAACATGTAAAAAACAAGAAAAAAGTTAAGGAAATGATTGGTCCATTAGTGGGGGAAAGTGACAAGAAGGTGACAAGCAACAAGGAGAAAGCAGAACTACTTAACTGTTTTTTGCATCCGTCTTTACACAAAGGGAAAAAACAGTTCAACCTATAAAAAACAGATTTGAAACTCAAGTTAAAATAAGCAAGAAAATGTTAAGTGAGCAGCTGTCCATCCTAGACAAGTTCAAATCACCAGGACCAGATGGATTACACCCCAAGGTTCTGAAGGGACTGGCAGATGTGATCTCAGAACCAGGGCTCTGTTCTGGGCCCAGTGCTCTTCAACATCTTCATCAATGATTCGGATGAGGAGATAGATGGGAACTCAATCAAATTTGCAGATGATACCAAGCTGGCAGGAATAGCCAACACTCCAGAAGATAGGTTTAAGATACAGAAGAATCTGGACAGACTTGAACATAGGGCACTATCTAACAAAATGAAATTCAATGGTGAAAAAAGTAAGGTTCTACATTTAAGCAAGAAAAGCCAAATGCACAGGTACAGTATAGGTAGTACCTTGCTCAATAGTAGTAACTGTGAGAGGGATCTTGGAGTCCTAGTGGGCAATCGCTTAAATATAAGCCAGCAGTGCGCTGCAGCTGCCAAAAAAGCCAACAGTGTTAGGCTGCATTAACAGAGGGTTAGAATCAAGATCACATGAAGTATTAATACCACTTTACAATGCCTTGGTAAGGTCACACTTGGAATACTGCATCCAGCTTTGGTCACCACAATGAAAAAAAGATTTTGAGACTCTAGAAAGAGTACAGAGAAGAGCAACAAAGATGATCAGAGGACTGGAGGCTAAAACTATAAGGTGTCAACGCTGCTAACATTGGATGTTCTTGCTTTGACAACAGATGAAAATGCAGTCATTTTCTCTATGCTTTTAGAATTAGTTGGTGCTGGGAGGGGGGATTGGAATGAGAGTTCAGTTAGTCATAATAATAATAACTCTGCCATGGGAATCCATGGACAAACTGGGTCCAGAGCTGATAATGTTTTGGCGGGCTGGAGACCTGGGGAGAAAGCCCATGGTTCAAGCTAATTGGGGAATGTGGTTTATGACTGTTTATTGGGGGTGGGAATTGTACTTTGTTAATTTGTATCCAGGGGAGGGGAATTTAGTTTTTGGGTTCAGTTATGTAGTGCTGATACTTTGTTTCCCGAATAAAAGATTCTTTAAGGAAAACAATGCCTCGAAGTTCTTTTGAAGGGTTTCATCGGTTGGAACCATGACATAAGGAATGGTTTCTGGAATTGGGTATTTCTAGTTTAATGAAGAGAAGGACTAGTGGTGACATGATAGCTGTGTTCCAATATCTCAGGGGTTGCCACAAAGAAGAGGGAGTCAAGCTACTCTCTAAAGCACCTGAAGGCAGGACAAGAAGCAATTGATGGAAACTAATCAAAGAAAGAAGCAACCTAGAATTAAGGAGAAATTTCCTGACAGTTAGAACAATTAATGAATGGAACAAATTGCCTCCAGAAGTTATGAATGCTCCAACACTGGAAGTTTTTAAGAAGAGACTGGACAGCCATTTGTCTGAAATGGTATAGGGTTTCCTGCCTGAGTAGGGGGTTGGACTAGAAGACCTTCAAGGTCCCTTCCACCTCTATTATTATTGTTGTTGTTGTTGTTGTCGTCGTCATCATCATCATCATCATCATCATCATCATTCACAGTCAGCCAGATGTTCAGATTGGATTTGGCATTTTTGTCTACATATCGAGTCCTTATACCAAGGACCTGGGATAGGCAGATGTGGATGTTCAATGGTATTACAGATATTGTCACAGGATGGAAGTTGTTCCTATCATCATCATTATCATCACCACCACCATCACCATCATCATCATTATTATACAATGATTATGGCTATTTTAGTGTGTATATATAGAAAACTATCAGACATACTTTTATGAATCACATCATTACCTGATCTTCAGCCAACTTGCACTGGATTAGTGATTTCCCTGATATCTGACAATGCTAGAGTTTACACTGAAAGCCACTGGGGTCTAAGGATTAAGGTACTAGTTTAGGAGCAGAAAAGCCAACTTGGCAGTCTTAAACCATTCTTTCTCTATTAGCCCTAAACAATGGCAAATGATTTGGAAACTAATCAAGGAGAGAAGCAACCTAGAACTAAGGAGAAACTTCCTGACAGTTAGAACAATTAACCAGTGGAACAACCTGCCTCCAGAAGTGGTGAATGCTCTAATACTGGAAGTTTTTAAGAAGAGACTGGACAGCCATTTGTCTGAAATGGTATAGGGTTTCCTGCCTGAGCAGGGGGTTGGACTAGATGACCTCCAAGATCCCTTCCAACTTTATTATTATTATTATTATTATTGTTATTGTTGTTGTTGTTGTTGTTGTTGTTGAAAATGTGTAGGGATCTGCAAAGAGTTGTCCATGCAACTGTCAGGATTTAAGAATGACTCAATTCCAACCTGTCAAATTTTAAACTGCTACCCCGCTATGATCTTTAGAATAAATTCATTAAAAAGCAGAATAATTCTCACAGAGTGGAACAGAAAACAGAATAAATATTGTTCATAAACAACTATATGGTATTGCTGAAAAACTTTTGGAAAAACCTTAATAGCACTTAACTACACTTGCCAATGCAATAATGATATTACCTTGATTTTCAGTATGAGAAATTTAACATAGACTAATGAACTATCCTCATATGTATTATTATAACACAGGGCTACTGTCCACTGATCTTTTAAAAGCAAAATATGGATATTCCTGGACATAGATCCCATTTCTACAATTTCTAAGTGAACTCTTTATTATTTCAGCCCATTTTCCTGCACACATGAGAAGAAATTAGAACATACCATAAGAAACAGAG